CCCCAAAACCCCAAAACCCCAAAACCCCAAAACCCCTGAGGAGTTCACACAGATTGACATTGATTACGGATCTGAAGCAAATGAGCGAGGGCAAGGGGCTTCTTTGAGCTGGAGTTCTTGAGTCAAGATGGGCTTGGAGGAGGGAGTGAAGAAGAGGTAGTATAGGAGGCAGTAGGAGATAAGCAGGATGCCGGTTGAGGTGCAGGTGGATTGGTAGGTGATGAGGGATGTGAAGGTGGTACCGTAGAGAGGGCCGAGGGTCAGGCCGAGGTTTATGGTGAAGTTGAAGATGCCGGAGCAGAGGTCGTTGACGTAGTCTTTTTGGGTTGGGAATGCAATTTCTGCTTCGTGTACCATGCTTGTCAAAGTGCTAACCATAACAAATATCGTGTTTAAACCTCCTAACAGTAGACCCAATATAATTATGAACTCTGAATCTGGAAGAAAGTAACTAGGACCCATCATAAATTCACTCAGCCCATATAGAAGCAGAGATCCAACCATAATTTTCTTGTCATCGATTCCTGCAGCAATAATAACTGACATCAAAATTGTACTAGAGAATAGATAAGCAGAAGCTGCAACAGTGAAGAAGAATGATATCGTTGTTGGTGCTAAGTTAAAATCTTTCAGCCTAATAGGCAGAACCGGGTAATAGTAAGAAAATCCAAAGGAGTCTAGATTTGTTACCTCGAAACTTACAAAGGAATCCTCAACATGTGACAAATATGAACTTTTTCATTCTGAGTAGCTTAAGATAAGTGGGTTTATTATTAATAATTTCTGAAATTTCTTCTTCTCTGGACTAGATAAAAGTTATTCTCAAAAAACCTTACCTCAAATGCTAGCAAAGCACAGAAAGAACAACCCCTTCTTGATTAAGGAGAAGGCTGAATATAAAACATTGAATATCAAACTCAATGAAAGACTAGAAGAAATTTTAGAGATGTTCTTAATTTGGCTAGTGCTTAATGGAAAAAAAATTGTAGAAAATTATAAAATCAATAGCTTTTATTCTTATTTTTACCTGAATTTCTACCAATGACTCTTGGCATTGGCTCTTGTCATGATGTTGTTTCTGGAGTTGTGCATTTCCATCGATTGACTTTGGGATCTGGAGATATAAAATGGGTACCAATAAGATTAAGGAACCTCCGATCAAGTTAAAAATCTTGCTAAATCCCAGAAATGAATACATAACGCCTCCAACTGATGGTCCCAAAATGCATCCAAATCCTTGTGCAGCTTCTAAATATCCTAAGTATTTCTGCTTCTTCTCCCCATAAGAAATTGATATAATAGCAAAGGATGTAGTAAGTGTCATACTCGACCCTATTCCTTGTATAGCTCTAGACATTAATCAAATTGCCACCACTAAGCTTGGATCTTCAAACCATTTGATAGCTCCAAACATTACCATTGCCAGCCCTGTAGTAGTGACACCAACTAATAATATTGTCTTTCTTCCAAACAATATCATTACTCTACCAATAATCAGAGATCCAAGCATTGAAGCCACTGAGTAGATCGAGAATATAAATCCAAGAGTGGTATCCCGCACTCCATACCCATCCAGTTCAAGAGGCAAGAATGGTACAACGAGCATGAACCCAACATTTTGTATCACTGACGCTCCAAACAATCCGATAAGATCTTTGGTTTCCATTTTGTCTTGATAAATAATTTAAAACCAATCCTAATTTCATACTTTGGGGTTTTGGGGTTTTGGGGTTTTGGGGTTTTGGGG